ATTGATTGATTGATTGATTGAATTAACAGGTGTGCCTTGTCAAGAGTTAATTTCTGGAATGTCTTGCCTTCCTAATGTGTTTAAGACCATCAGTTGTGTTGTGCAGAGGTAGGGTTGGTACAAAGGTCTATACAGTGAATAGCCCTATTTGACTACTGTTCTTATCCATTTTATGGCAAGAACAACTAAGTAAAGAGAAACGACAATCCATCATTACTTTTAGATATGAAGGTCAGTCAATCCGGAAAATTTCAAGAACTGCAAGAAGTGCAGTAGCATCGACCATCAAACTTTATGAAGAAACTAGCCGTCATGAGGACTGCCCCGGGAAAGGAAGACCAAGAGTAACCTCTGCTGCAGATGATAAGTTCATCAGAGTTACCAGCCTCAGAAATCGCAAATTAACAGCACCTCAGATTAGAGCCCACATAAATGCTTAACAGAGTTCAAGTAGCAGACACATCTCAACATCAACTGTTCAGAGGAGACTGCATGAATCAGGCCTTCATGGTTGAAGTACTGCAAAGAAGCCACTTCTGAGGAAGAACAACAAGAGGAAGAAAATTGCTTGGGCCAAGAAACACAAGGAATGGACATTAGACCAGTGGAAATCTGTGCTTTGGTCTGATGAGTCCAAATTTGAGATCTTTGGTTCCAACCGCCGTGTCTTTGTGAGACGCAGAAAAGGTGAACGGATGGATTCCACATGCCTGGTTCCCACTGTGAAGCATGGAGGAGGAGGTGTGATGGTGTGGGGGTGTTTTGCTGATGACACTGTTGGGGATTTATTCAAAATTGAAGGCACACTGAACCAGCATGGCTACCACAGCATCCTGCAGCGACATGCCATCCCATCCGGTTTGCGTTTAGTTGGACAATCATTTATTTTTCAACAGGACAATGACCCCAAACACACCTCCAGGCTGTGTAAGGGCTATTTGACCAAGAAGGAGAGTGATGGAGTGCTGCGGCAGATGACCTGGCCTCCACAGTCACCGGACCTGAACCCAATCCAGATGGTTTGGGGTGAGCTGGACCGCAGAGTGAAGGCAAAGCAGCCAACAAGTGCTAAACACCTCTGGGAACTCCTTCAAGACTGTTGGAAAACCATTTCAGGTGACTACCTCTTGAAGCTCATCGAGAGAATGCCAAGAGTGTGCAAAGCTGTCATCAAAGCAAAAGGTGGCTACTTTGAAGAATCTGAAATATAATTCATATTCTGGTTTGTTTAACACTTTTTTGTTTGGTACATAATTCCATATGTGTTCCTTCATTGTTTGGATGTCTTCAGTAGTAATCTACAATGTAGAAAATAAAAAAAAATAAAGTAAAACCATTGAATGAGAAGGTGTGTCCAAACTTTTGACTGGTACTGTATATACACTCACACATACACAAAACTGATGGCAATAAATAAATGAACAAATAAAGAGTCAACACCTTCTTCATTCTTGAACCTTGTGAAAATCAACTGCTTTATGTTTAGATATTTCTGGAGCTCCACATTCAACACTTCTTTCTTCTTCTCTACGCACAGACAGAGTCTGTTGTCCTCAAGTTAAGTTTTAACCCCCTCGCCTTTCAATGAATAACTTTTGTCGACACGTTAACGAGTCCAACACCGGAGCTGATGTGGGCGGAGCCTCAGAGGACTCAGAGTCATGTGATGTGTAAGAACTGATGTGTCACTCGGCTCTGTTTCTCTTCACACTTTATTCATGCAGCTTCTCACAACATGACAGAGTTTTACATTCACTACAGGAACAACAACAGACGCACCATCACCATGGAAACACAGAGGACATGTTCGCCACGTTGGCTCAGGTGCATCTGTGAGGACAGAAAAACAACCCACTGCTACAGAGACAGTTCAGCCTGCAGGAGCACAGCCGCCATGTTGGCCACCATGTCAGCTACACCTCCGAGAGTCCTGTTGGTTGCCTGGCAACCACATGGTGACAAGAAGACAGCAGCTGTTTCCAGTTTTATGTTAAGCTAAGCTAAGCTAAGCTAACCAGCTGCTGTCTGCAGCTTCAATCTGAAACTCTCTGTAACACACAAACATGTCTGTTCTCCACTGCCACATTTCACCTGTTCATAGGAACATGTTGTTACTATAGCAACACCAACATGACTAATGTGCGCCACATGGAGGCTGAACTGTGCGTGAGTACGACGATCACTGACGCTAACACGAGCAGGAACACTGCTAGGATACAAAACGGTAAAAAATACAAAATTAAGTCTTTACAAATCAAACACACGTTAAAAATCTGTTCAGAGGTCACCAGAGGTCAAACAGCAGGAGGGGGCAGGGCTCTGCAGCTGTGACATCACAGGATGAACAGTCAGAGGTCAAAGGTCAGTGGTAGGTTTGGTTGATCCTCTGAAAGCTTGGTCAGATCATGGATGTGTTCAGAGACGATTCCGTCAGGTCAGAAACCTCCATCAGGTTAGGGTACAGGTCACATGGTACAAACGTTTGTCATGGTAACTACAGAGTCCCTGCAGGGACATGAGGGAGGAAAAACAGATAAAACCTTTGATATTCTCCTGAGAAATATTCAACCTGTCCTCATCAAACACTGAAGCTTCGTCACAGTGTGTGACTCTGAAGCACCTGACATTCTGTAGCGTCTGAATGAGAAACACTGACCTTGAAACTGACTCCGCCCTTAATGTAAACTCATCACAACATCAACGATCAGAGGAACCGCTGCCGCCATCCGTTCACAGAATATCAATCTGAGTGTGGCACTGTAATCAGAGAATCAGGCAGGGTCCAGGCTGATAGAGAGCTCTACAGGGGGACAGACATGTCTTTTTGATTTCGGGGTAACTGTGGTTGCTATGGTGGTTGCTATGGGCACTTCTATGACTGAGGCAAAAGAGCTCTGCATGTTATTTGTATTTGTGTTGTCTCAGCTGTTCTTTAATTTGATTTGTGTTTCCCTGGCAGCCAAAGTGACCTGGTCCAACATCGGCCCAAGCTCGGCATGCTGGACGAAACAAGTCAGACCATGTCATGTTGCCTAACTCGGCTGAGTCAGGATGAATGACTCTTCAGAAGGTGACAAATTTCTTCTTCTTCTTTGGTTTTCAGACAGTCCAGATTTTCACCCTCCGCAGAGTTCAGTTCTCTGCCAAAGAATTTCTCAGGAGAATTTAAAAGTATTTGTTTTTCTCTTTCCTCCCCCACATCTCCGTCGGGGCTCCGCAGGTGTGAACTGACAGCAGGGATCATCGGCTGATGCCAAACACTTTAAACTCAAAGTTCAAAGGTCAGAATCTGACGCACATCATCTGATAAATGTGGAGCTGTTTGAGATGTGGCTGAGCTGAGGTCATGACGTCAAATCTACCAAGCAGCTCACTTGGTTTACCCATCTGTGTGGGCGGAGCCAGCAGGAGAAACACTGAGCATGTGCAGTGGGACGCTTCACAGAAACAAACCCTCAAAGCTGGAAATGTTTTGGCTGATGTGCCTGGTGAGAAAGTTCTAGTGAGTCCAGCTCGTGCGATTGGTCCGCAGACAGAACAGGAAGGTTTTTTTGATTGTTTGTTTTGGATATTTTGGGGGCGTGGCTTGGGGGGGGGGCTACTTGCAGGCTGGTACTGGATTTATTAGCACCATTTAGATTCAGTTCATGATCTGAACCTGACAGGAAGTCGAACAGTGTTCGTCTGAAATTCTGTTTCTGACTGTATCAACGATTAAAGTTTCTGAGTGAATCAAACCTTGGTCCTGACGGGTCCGACCCTGCAGTCCAACATCACGTTACTCCACCACACACGGACGTCACTACAGAACAACACAGACTTCTATCATCACAACGGTCTCATGTTTAAAGTAGGTCAGAAATACGAGATTGAGGAATGAAACTACAGAACAGACCTGGGGCCGTACTCACAAAGCGTCCTCGTGCTAAGAGTCCTGGTAAAGATTAAAGGTATTCACAGAGCATCTCAGACCTTGGAAGAGCTCCTATGGTGAAAACTGTTAGGAGTAGGGAGGAGGACTTTTAAGAGGTTTAAGAGTTTCTTACAGACAGCAGAAAATGGTGGAAACACAAAAAGGTCAGAGAAATATTCTCCAAACGCTGAATGACAGTGAGTAAATGAAATGCTACAGATTAGATTGATTTGATTTGTGGCTGATCTCATCAGGGATACGCACACATTCCCACCTAACACTTTAACATCAGAAATAAAATGATTACTAAGTTATTTGACATACCTGTAAAAACACAACAGTGCAGCAGTGATGACTTGGGTCTGTCTCAGTCTTCACTACAGTGATCACACTTACAATTCCACACTTTGACTTATATGGTGACGCAGTTCATGTCATGTCCACTGGGTGTCCTCTCACCTTACAGGCTCGCAAAAGGGTGTGTCTCTGAAAACCAATCACATCTGTTGAAAGTATGTGTCATACCTATTAACAGGGTCAACCACACCTCCTCACTAAGATAAAAGTTTCTGTCCCTTCCTCGCTCTGAGAACTTTCCTAAATCACTCCTTACTAAAAAACTTTAGGCTAAGTTAGGAGCTCTCAAAAGCTGTCTCAGAATGTTTGTGAATACGGCTCCTGGAGTCAACTCTGTCCTCAGAGGACTGTCCTCTGAGGACAGAGGATGAAATGAGGTTAATTTACAGTGAATGATGAGACCAGTCACAGCAGGTCACAGCTCTGACAAAGAAAACCAGTAAACCCAGTTAGTGGAGTGAACTGGTTGTGTTCAGATGTCTGATGATGAAGTGAGGTGGAAACTTCTGTACTGTTAATAAAAGACCACTAAAGGAAACAGAAGTATTTCCCAGGGTCATACTACTACCACTATTACCACGAGTACTACTGCTACTGCTATTACTGGTGCATGGATCAGAGACGTGATGATGGGGTGATGATGATGATGAGAGGAAATGATGTTGAGTACATGTGTGAAAGGGTTAAAGTAAGTACACATGCAGAAGTACTTCAAATGGCTGATTCTTTAAACCACATCAGTAACATTCTGTACTGGTTAAAGTACCACTGCTGTAGGATTTAGGACCAGGTGTTGGGTTGTAGTACGACTGTTGAGACATTCAGTACTACTTCAGTTAAAGTACAGTAGGTGCAGTGTTCAGTCTGAAGTACTGTTGTGACTGGGTTTACTACGAGATGTGGGGTTCTCATAGGATTCAGTAGGATCTGTAGGACTGTAGTCCTACTGTTTGTTCTACTGTTTGTTCTACTGATTGTTCTACTGTTTATTCTACTGTTTGTTCTACTCGTTGTTCTACTGTTTCAGGGTTTGTTCAGCTTGATTCTGGGATTTAGTTTTAGGGTTTAACACTTGTTGAAGTACGCCTCTAAAAGGATTAAGTGGTAATTGTAGGATAAAGTACTTTTTGTAACATTCAGCACTACTTGAAGTAAAACATTTTGTGGGGTTTAGAACTTACTTGTAAGATTGTAGTACTTGTTTTAGAGATGTACTAGCATGATAGCAGGATTTAGTAGTCCCTGAAGTACCACTGTTTTATGACGTAGTACTAGTTGGATGGTTGTTGTTTTATACAAGTAAAAGTACAAGTATCAGTACTCACTGTAGGTCTTATAACTGATAGTTGAGTTGTAGGGTTCAGCACTAGTTGAAGTACCATGACTGCAGGATTTAGTACTGTAAGTGTTTTCATAGTATTCAGTAGGAGCTGTACAAGTGGAAGCATTGTGGTGATTACTACTCGCAGCGGGTGGTTGTAGGGTGGAGCAGTAGTTATTGTAGCATTACTGTTTTAGGGTGTAGGACTGGTTGGTTTGGCTGTTTCTATTTAAAGTGACAAAAACTCAAAGTGACAGTTTTAAGATAAAGAGGTGATGTTGGATCGTCCACCAGGCGGCGCCACAATCCTCTGAGCAGAGCGACGAGGGATGTGGTCGTCAATCTGACTTCCTGGATAGGAGAAGAAGAAGAAGAAGAAGGAGGAGATAATGATCTGAATTAGTGCTGACATCTCATCTGCAGTCCTCTTTGTGTGTGTGTGTGTGTGTGTGTGTGTGTGTGTGTGTGTGAACACTACCTGCCAGGGTGAATCCTGATTGATGGAGGTTTCGGAGGCTGGTCTGAGTTTTGGGACAGGGTGGCCCCCTGGTGGTTGGAGTGGGCGGGACCGATTTAGTCATGCTTATGACATCATGGACCGGACCATCGTAGTTTCCACGGGGGACACCGCGAGCCTCAGCCATCTGAGATGAGGAGAGAAAATCTGACTCCTGACAAACTATCAATCAATAAACTGATCAATAATCAGTTAATAATAATAAACAATCAGCCACACAGAGGCTGAACCAATCAGCACCAATGACCTCCACCTGTAAACAGCCTGTCAGTTAACTTCCTTGTTACCACGCTGTCAGCTGGTTATCTGCTTAAACACTCAGTCAAGAGGTCGACCGGTTGGTTGGTTGGTGACTTTGCTGTGAACTCTGACTGGTTGACCTGTTTGTCAGGTGTTTAACTAGTTGGTCAGATGGTTAACTTTGTTATTGTGCTATGAGCACAGATCGTCTCGGACAGCCAGCTGCTTTCCTGGTACACCAGGTGGTCAGTTAACCAGTTGGTTGTGTGTTTACCTTGGTGTGGACTTGGATCATCTTCTTAACTAGGTTAACCAGCTGATCAGGTGTTTAATTAGTTGACTGGTTAATCAGTGGGTCATATCCCTGCAGGCTCTGATCCTCTGTCAGAGTTTAAGATGGGTAACTGGTTAACCAGTCAATTAACTGATTAGTAGTAGTTTGGTCACCTTGCTGCGGGCTCTGATAGATTCAGTTAGTTAACTGGTCAACCAGCAGGTCAGGTGGTTAACTAGTTAACCCGTCGATCACCTTGCTGCGGGCTCTGATCCTCTTGTAGACGGCGTCGGGAAAAGCCTTCCTAGGGATGAAGCGTCCTGAACCTTCTGTCACGTCCAGTTTTCCATCCTCTAGAACAATTCGTCCGCCGCTGATCACAACCGACGCCACGCCTCGAAACTCCAACCCCTCCAGGATGTTGACCTCCACCGTCTACACACAGACAGGCAGCAAGTTGAGGATGATGATGATGGTCAGTTTATGATGATGATGGATGATGAAGATCGATGTTTTGTTACCAGGTTGTGAGTCTTTGCAGAAACAGTTCGCGTCTCTTTTGGATTCCAGACGACGATATCAGCATCCGACCCCACAGCAATCCTCCCTGCACACAGGACAGTGATGTCATCAGACGTCATCACACATCATTAGATGTCTGAGCATCCTTGACAGAACATTCTATCATCTGAACACACACATCACAAACAAACATCACTGCCGCCGGCTTGATGCATGGATACAACAGAACGTCCTGAGGTGGACAGGTACAGGATGGTGCAGTTGAGGTACCACCTCAGACATGTTCTCTACTCATGTCCCAACATGCTGTCCACGCAGTGTCTTTGCCTTTTACCTTTCCGAGGGTAGATGTTGAAGAGTTTGGCAGCGTTGGTGCTCGTTACTGCAACAAACTCGTTCTCGTCCATCTTCCCCGTCGACTGCAGATAGACACCAGAGGAGAGATCGGAGTCAGCAGAAAGAAGCTGCTCTGTGATGTTCAGTCTGGTCATCACTGATGGAAACGTTCTGCTGATACAGTGACCTCATACACAGATCTGTGTTTTATTCATTTCAGATCTTTGATCCTCACAGAAGGATCTCACTGTAACAGGTCTGTACATCAGCTAACATGAGGTCACTGATGGTCCTGATTCAGCAGGCTTAGCTAGTGTTAGCGAGGAGGCTAGCTGATAGGTTTGGGCAGCATCACAGTCTTATGGTATATCAGGATATTCAGAATCTCGACAGTAATTTTAAAATAACAGACGCCCATTTTTCTCAGTGTGTGTAGCTCACATCAAGCACCAGCAGAGGTCAGTCTCAGGTCTGACTCTGAGTGTTGGGGGGTGGGGATAACATTACAGGACTGTAAACAGCTGGCTGGCAGCAGCAGAGACAGATTTATTTTAACCAGCTGGAGACTGTTGGAACACTGGAACAAATAACCAAATTACTAAATAACTGAAGGACTAACAAGTCTATCAAGAACAGTTTAATGCAGTTGTTCACATGAAAAATACGACGACAGATCTCACCACAGCTCTGTCCCACACCACAGACATCCTCTCCTCAATCCCGTTGGTTCCCTCTGGGATCAGAGTGAAGTCGTCTTTACCAACGGCCTTCTGAGCCGTGGAGAAACTGGCCTGAGCACTGGATGTCACCTGGAGGTCTCCACTGGTGAAGAAACACACAGTAAGTACCTGCTACCATGCTAACAGGGAGGTAGAGTCATACTGACCATGCTAACAGGGAGGTAGAGTCAAACTGACCATGCTAACAGGGAGGTAGTGTCATACTGACCATGCTAACAGGGGTTAGAGTCATACTGACCATGCTAACAGGGAGGTAGAGTCATACTGACCATGCTAACAGGGAGGTAGAGTCATACTGACCATGCTAACAGGGGTTAGAGTCATACTGACCATGCTAACAGGGAGGTAGAGTCATACTGACCAT